AAGCTGAAAGTAAAGTTGACCAAAATAATAACTCAGGAGGACTAACAAAGGAGAAGAATGTGATGGATTGCAAAACAACTCAAGGTTACTCAAAAGGTGAACTTGGTAATTGCCCGCTAAACAAGCTGAATAAGCTTTGCGCTAATGTCCAGGACCTTGTTGTCAGAGGGAACAATAAATTCTCGATTAAAAAGCTGACTCCAATACCACAAGAACAAGATAACGACGAACAAGAAGGGGATGTTCACAAAACAACGGAGGACTTTACACATTTACAAACAAAACAAAGAATCGAAAGTTGGATGATGGACGTCCGTAAAGAACGAGCGTTGCCGTCAAACCGCACGGATTATGGTTGTCGAAGAAGCATCTCCCTGGACGAAGGAAGCCGCCTTCAAGAAAAAACACTTATAGCTGATGTTGTTCATAAAAGCCAGAGTTCCCAAGAACTACTTCCCCGTTTTCAGCAGCGAAGAAGAAGCGTTGACGTCGTGGGATTACAAAACTCCCTGGAAAAGGATTCAGAAAAACGCTTTCGCAGAAACAGCCTGGACTTTTCAAGTCGAGAAAAAAACACAGTGGAGCTTTTGAAAAGGGTTAATGGAAAGAGTAACTCCACGAGCGTGGGATATTACAAAACTAACAATGTTGAACCTACTACAGGAGAAAATGACGAAGGACTTTTACCAGGTACGGAATGCTACCACCGACAAGCACCAGTAAAGCTCTATTCGGAAGAACCTTTCTACGTTCGTCGAAAAAAACAACTGACCAGAAAAATGAGCTGGCAATCAACAGTTATGCCAGAAGAAACCTCAAAAACGTTACATGAAATACAAGGGGAAAAGCCAAAATGCGTCGAGAAGAAAKACGAGGAGCYGACTCCCCTGCGTAATCTACTRCCACCAATTCTACTGCCATCGATYTWCTCGCAACAAAACGTCAAGGACAGAAACGAAKCGTTGCAGCAAAGAGCTCAACACCATATACAAAAATCTGGTCACTCGAAGGATACGGATAGAATACGAGACTGTCGTTACCTTCGTATGCCGATAAAACGATGAGAAAACCACGCCCTAGAACATGTCTTGAAGTANCCTGTACTTTTGCGTGCATAAGTCCTACACAATGACTTGTAATCAGTTGACTTGCTATTGACTTGGAGGGTCATCTAGCGTCTATTTATAAACTTGTGAATTATTTCTCTCGCGTTTTTACTCTAATGTTTTCAGAAGAKATTAGACGAATCGAAAATTCCAGTAGTTAAATGGAATTTAAGAAAATACTTTCAAAGACCATTGTTTTTGGTTAAAGACCATAGTGGTAAGGCAAAGTTGGAAAAGATRAATTTAGCTAAATTTGATAGTACTCACTAAAGTGCACTTGAAAACAACGAAMTTTAGTTCAATATTCAAGTACACAATTTGTAATTAAAACCACGCATAACAAAATTCAATGACTTGATGACCTCTCGTATGGACTGTCTCAAAGTGCGCAAGCTGTACAAGAAACAATTCTAATGTTGGACGCGCAAAAAGGGTCCAAATGGCCGAGGAACGCTTGGTTGAAGACATGAAAACATTGCATCTTTTTTCAAGACGCAAGGCGAACAAGATCTCTGCAAAAAATGCCATCTTCARGAAGTCCCACAAAGATCAGTGTAAAACACTAGATGCAGAAAGAAAAAGCCGTTTATCAAACTTTCGCAGAGCTAAGTGCGACTTGGAACAACGTCTAACAAGGCATGCCCAAGACTCTTTGAGTTTTGACGACATCAAGAGTCTTTCCAAGTACGTCGACGATGGCAGAGATGAAAAACAGTTCTGCAGCAATTTTCTGTCAGCCAGACGACGATCCGGGTCAACAGCATCAATTTCTTCGACATCAAACAAGTCTTTTTCAATAGCAAACAGTGCAAGAGTCAATAGTGTACAAGATACAGATAAAGCTGAAAGCAAAGTTGACCAAAATAATAACTCAGGAGGACTAACAAAAGAGAAGAATGTGATGGATTGCAAAACAACTCAAGGTTACTCAAAAGGTGAACTTGGTAATTGCCCGCTAAACAAGCTGAATAA